AAAGAATTAATTATTAATTATATATTAATAAAATCTCTAGATTTTCAGCTTTATTTTGATATATTTTTTATTAATTTTTATGCAGTAGTTTTTGAGTAATGAATAAATAAAAAATTCCAAAAAGTTTTGTTACACACTGTAAATCTATATATATCTATTAATTCCAATTATAAGATTTATATAAATAAAAAATTTTTTTACTACTAGTTTAAATCTATTTATCCTATTGATTCAATTATATTTTTTAGTTGTTTGCTAAAAAAAGATCATATAAAATATAATTATAAAAATTAATTTCAGTTATTTTAATTATATATTATTATTAATTTTTAAAATAAGTCACTAATATAATATTATATTATTCTTTATATTATTTGTAGAACTGGTATTCTTGCTTGAATTTCAATTTAATTTTAAAATACTTATTAAACTTATTTAGTTTTAATAATTTTTACTTAAATTGTTACTAGTTATAACAGATAATCTTTACTCTTTCAATTTATTTAAGTTTAGAAAAACATAATTTTTAAGATAGATTTTTAGGTTTCAAATTAAAATAATTTAGTTTAGAATTAATCTTTTAAAATTATATAATGAAATTTGTTATTGTCTGTTTAGATTAAAGTTAATAAGTTTTTATTAAAGTTGTAATTATTAGAAAAATCAAAATTTTATTTTTATATAACTTAATTAAATTTGAATATAATTAAAATTATTGGATATAATATATACAAAATATTCAGTAAACTTATAGATAAAGGTAAATATAATATATATTTGAAGACTTAAGAGTATTACTTATTATATTATTGATTTATAGATTAAATATATAATTAATATTATTTATAAAAAATTTTATATACAGGATGTTGCAAAAAAATTTTTTTAATTTATATTTTAAAAGATATAGATTTATTAAAATTTTTAATTAAAAATTTATTATATTAATATTAATAGTTTTTTTTAAAAAAAATTATTTAAATTATTATCTTGTTCTTTTATTTTACTTTTTAAAATCTTTTATTTAAAAAGCAAAATCTATATAATATATATATATTACTTTTTTTTAAACAGAAATTAAAAAGTACAATATAAAATTTTTATTAAAAATTAAAATATCAAATTAAATTATAAATTAATTAATAAAATAGTTTTAAATAAAATTTTTCTATAGATGTCAATTTAATTATATTTAAATTTATTTTTTTTTTTTAAATAATTTTTGTTAAGTTACAAATAAAAATATAATTGTTATTTTTTTTGTAATACTTTATATTATATATATGAAATTTAAATTAAGTTGTAATTAATAAATTTATAATATATATAATATTAAAAAAATAATAAAAATCAATATTTATTATTATTATAATTTTTTAAAAAATATTTATTATATAAAATTTATTAGTAAAATAAAAAAATTGAATTGAGTTTTTTAAAAATTTTTAATATGTATATTAAAAAGAATATTTTAAAAAATCAAACTATTATATCAATACATATAACTTATAAGGAACTTATTTTTAAAGTATTAAAAAAACATATTTGTATATGATAGTTTAAAATAATTAAATAAATGAATAAAAAATTTTTTGTTTTTTCTTTTTTTATTTATATTATTTTAAATTTTAAAATTTAAATTATCAAGTTTTTAATCTTATCAGAATTGAATAAAAATCAGGTGATGTTCATCCAGCCTATATGTATACTACTGGTTGATAAAAAATTGTCGCGAGTGACTGTTTCCCCATTTTTTTTTCCAAACTATGTCTGATAGGCAAGTTTATGGGTTCGGTTCCTGCAATCCAACATGTGCCTCAAATTTTAACATCGTATTTTTTTTCCAGTGAGACTGAAACCAAAACCATTACCCTTCGTACAGGTAATAACCACTTACTAAATTCAATCTTATCATTTTTAATTATTTGGTAACGATGTGCCGACTAATTCCTAATAATACCTCATAACCGTTGTTATATTGAAGCTGGCTTTGACGCCCGCTTTCCAAATTGCAATCAAACCAAGCATTGCTGGCAAAATTATGTAGATTATCATAAATGTGTCAGAGCGCGCGGTGAAGATTTCCCTCCTTGTAAGCAGTTCTACCGAGCTTTTCATAGTTTGTGCCCTAATGACTATGTAAGTTATATCGATTCCTTTGATTAAATATTATGACCGGAGTGCAACAATTTTCTTTGAGATGAAAAATGTTTAGTAGTTTAGCATTTTTAATTCCCTTCGTAAGTTTGCACACAAAATTCAATAGATTGGACATCGTCTCCTATCCTATCTCAATTCTAAGGATTATTAATATGTTAGTCCAAAATGGATTATCTAATAACTCAATTTTTAATCAATTTCGATAGATTTCAAAGTGGGATACCCAAAGAGAGGAAGGAAACTTTCCTGTTAATTTGAATCCGTAAGCATTTTAAATAGATAGCTATTGGGTTTGATGAAGTTCACGTTTTTAGCATTAAGCTTTTCTTTGCGATTTGGAGCGAATGTTCTTGTGATTGGATGTTTGAAAATCAAACCATTTGTCACGTGTTGACAAAATTTGCAGAAGTCACGTTTACTGTAATGGTGGTCATTATTAATTAATTGTGGATTTGCCAATAAGTGGTTTTTGTTTTTTTTTTTTTGAATGGAATGACCAATATAAGAAATGTCTCAAGAATTTAGCTTTGACGAACACTCGCATCGTCGTTTTAACCCTTTGATTGATTCTTGGGTTTTATGCTCTCCACATCGAACCAAACGACCTTGGCAAGGTCAACAAGAAATAGTAGAGTACGAGTCAAAACCAGAATATGACCCAAAGTGTTACCTTTGCCCGGGAAATTTACGGGCACAAGGTAAAAAGAACCCAAATTACTCCGATACATTTATCTTCATAAACGATTTTGCTGCCTTAAAAGTCGAGCAACCTCAATTACATCTTGAGGATTCCAATGGTTGGTGTTTTCTAATTTTAATCCGGATATCGTAAAGATCGCGAGAATAAAATTTGAAATTTAAATTCTTGGGGTTTTCGACATTTCATTATTCTATGTGATTGATCAATGCGTTCTAGATAAATTCGCGTCATTGTTAAAGGCCGAAAGTGTCAGAGGCGAGTGTAAAGTCATCTGTTTCTCTCCGAAGCACAACATCACCATAGCAGAGATGTCAGAAGAAGTCGTTGTTCATGTCATCCAGAGCTGGATTAAAGTTTACCAAAGCGCTATCGCAGTTCCCCATATCAATTACGTGCAAATCTTTGAGAATAAGGGGTCGATCATGGGGTGCTCAAATCCTCACCCGCACTGTCAGGTTTGGAGCACCGAATCGATTCCCGAAGAACCTCGCAAGGAAATGGTGTCTATGACCAAATACTATGAAAAAAATAATTCTTGCATGTTATGTGATTATGTTCAGCTTGAAACCACCAAACTAGTGGATAAGCCAAGAGTGGTTTGTGAAAATGATTCATTCGTATGTGTTACTCCATACTGGGCCGTTTGGCCTTACGAAACAATGGTGATTGCAAAATTTCATTTCACAAGTTTGGGTGAGATGGACGAAAAAGTCGAAAATGGAAAGAAGCGACAGTGTGATCTTGCAAATATAATCGTAAGGATCACATGCCGTTACGACAACGTTTTTAAATGTTCCTTTCCTTATTCCATGGGAATTCATCAAGCACCAGCAGATGGAGGGGATCACTCGCATGATTCACACTTTCATTTGCACTTTTATCCTCCATTGTTGAGGAGTCCGACGGTCAAAAAATTTTTGGTTGGGTAAGTTTGTTTTTTCTAATTTACGATCAATTGATGATGTTAATGTGACATTTCTCTCTTTTTTATTTCGAAAAGATATGAACTGCTTGCCGAACCGCAACGTGACCTTACCCCGGAACATGCCGCAAGTACATTAAAACAATGTTCTGAGATACATTATAAACATGAGAAGGTCAATGTTTAATGTTACAATGGGAGTTTGACATATTTACAACCTTACAAATTGACGTTCGTAATTTTTTCACGAGCAGTTTTTAAAATAATCTTTTATACTCTTTTGAATCATTGTCCTTTCCCGTAAATGTTACCATCCATGGGGGGAATCCATCGAGCATTAAATGTTGGTATTTGTGGCATAGGCGTAACGGTCATTGCGGTATTGTTAATGGATTTCTTTGGTTTTTGTTTCATGGCAGTAGAGGTATCTCGGATTGGTGATTTTGGTCTTAAATTTTCAATATCTGATGTCATTATTTTAAATGTTGGAAATTAATAAATTGTTTGATATCATTCCACTTGGTCTTAAAAATGAAGAATCTGTTGTACCTTGTGTTGTACCAAGGAGATGCCCATTTTGTTCGGAAAAGTAAGACGCATATGTTTCGGCATCAAAATTAGAACTCGATAACCCATTTCCAATAGTGAACCATCCCGGACGTATATTATGATCCTATTAAATAGTTTACAATATTTGCTATATCGTAAGCACTTGCATCGTGGTATAGGTGTCTTACAAAAAAATAAAATAAATGGCACCTCGCCAAATAATTCTAGCCTTCTACGTCCAAGGCAAAAATGTTCTATTATGTGATATAATTCTTCGGGTTTACGAGTGCCTGCTAGTAGTGGACATCAACGCTTTAGTGAAATAGCGCAAAGTGCAGACCACTAGAAATAAATCTATACTAACTGCCAAATAGGGGTTCTTCTGATATGATAACATCAGTATCCACGTTACAATGGATAAAATGCCCATCGGTGCTACGTCTAACGGTACCCTTGATACCCATTATACAGTGCTCTTTTGTTCGTTGAAAAACAGATCGTTCCTCAAAAAATCGACTTCCCTAGTTTTTTTATTTCAACTTTAGATCTACTTAAACAGAAAAAACCGTCATTATATACATTTGTTCTATTCGCACCTCCCAAGTCTTGTTGGTCTTTATCCATACAATATCTTCGCATCGGCGATAGCCCCATTTAAGAAGTAATTGACGGCCACGATCAAGGCCATCTGCATCGCCTGACCAGATAAAGATGAAAGATGGAGTTGCCGCAACATCTTCGATTTTGAGATTAGCGTGAGCTAGTGAGTTAAGTTTAACCGGTTCTCAGCTCGAGGAAAAATGTTATGATCTAGCAAAGGATATTATTTCTTCATATGTCCAATAGTCGGAAGTTGTTCCTGCTATCAATGGCGACTTTCCACAGTATCTAGAGAATAGATTTTAGTTGGATTGTCAAAGCTTCATGGACGAATTAAACAGATACATTCACGTAAACACTAACTCAATCAAGGGAGGGTCAATTAAAATGACATCGAATTTGGTTCCGGTCGATTTCAACTCGAATGTTCGAAGGTCAGCTTTCAAGTAAGTTGGAGGCGTCGCCCGACTTGATACCAAAGCATTCTTCAATTTGGTGAGATCCTTCAACTTCGGATATCTACGAAATCCCAATTAACTGTTGATCTTTCCTGAAAAGTAAAAGAATCCTGGAAGTAAAGAATCTTACTCGTCGAAACGTTGCGAAAGTTCAGTGTCTCGAATGAAATTTTGAGGGCGGCGACCCGAATCTACAAAGTATTGACAGTAATCATTTCGAATGGACTTTTCCCCATCCTGTGTTGAATCACCTTTGTACGCGTAATCGGTAGAATGTTTTCCATGATTTTCTTGTTCTGGTTTTCGCGAAATGCTTGAAGGGAGGCCGTATGGCTTAAATGTTCTGACCGAGTTTTTCTTGAACTTGTTGCGTTCCGGTGATCCATTTTTTTTTTCAATCACCACCTGTTTTCTCAGATCTTTATCAGCTTCGAGTTGTAACCTTCGGCGCTTCTGGCGTTCACGGAGCACTGCAAGAAGCTTATTATGCGATTCCTTGAAAATGCGAATTTCTTCTTCAATATCTCGACTCATACTTGACACACGTATGTTTGTAATATTTCGTTTTCAGCAAGAACTTCGTGATCCGTATTTAGAAAATCGTGTAATCGAAAATCATTTATTTAATCAGATGATTTCTAGTCGCACCGAAAAATAAATGACTGAACTTCCGAAAGAATCTTGTTATTGGTCAAAGGGCAACTTTCAGTTCATATAACTATTTATTTCCAAAAGACTACTACAATATCTTTTATACCTTCTTTGCCTTTAAGCCACGATAGCTATCAAATAATTATTTCAAATATGACGGAAGAGATACTGGACTTTGAGGAAGCGGTCGACTTCAACTTATCCGATAACCCAGACGCCCTTAACAATGAGTTATTAGATGAGAGCATGTTCGACCTTGATGGAACCATGGATTTTGGCATCGACGAACAGCTTGATAAAGGTAGGTAGAATTACTCGAGTTCATAAGGTTCCTTATAGTAGATGACGATCGACAAAACTTAGTTGAGATAAATTTACTTCGTTAGTAGACGTCGACACTGATGCTCAAGATAAGGCTAAGGAAAACGAAGGGAATAACGAGTTAAACAACGTCGAAACGACGCCACCACCAGAAGAAGATCCAGAAGAACTTAAGCTAGGATTAGACGAAGTATTTGATATGGATGACCCTGACTTTCTTAAAGATTTTAGCGATGTTAACGGTGGTTTAGATAATGATGGGAATTTAGAGGATGATGAATTCTGGAAAGAATTCGGGTTGGATAAACAAGATAGCTTAGATAAGGAGATAGAGAATGATTCTCGAACCGGAAAATTGACACCAGAAAAACTTGAAACAGATAATGCCACCGTTACTTCAAAATCTTCCCAAAAAGAGAACACTTTATCTGCTAAAAAACTCGCGTCATCCGAGTCGGATGCTGCAAAAGGTGTAAAAGGGGATTCCAAGAAGTCGAATTCTCCGAGCACTGGTAAATCTGCTCCGAGTACGAAATCACCAGAAAAGGAAGATGGCGAAATTCCTAATCCTACAACGCAAGGACAACAACAGAAACAAAAACAACCATCACAGTCTCAACAACAACAACAACAACAACAGCAACAGGGACAAGTGCAAAGATCTACACAGCAGCGTTCTTCCCACCAACGTCAACTGCAACCGCCATCAAACCATCACTCTCAACAGAATAATCAGAACTTCAGAGGACGAGGTATGAGAAGGAACGACTGGCGCCCCGGCAATGAATTTTTCAACGGCAACATGTCATCTTTTCGGTCTGGTTTCGGTCCAGGGATAGAAGGAATGCCAGGGTAATTTTAATAAAGATTTCTGTTTAGAGGATAGGGTTAAGTACTAATCATTAACGAATAATTAAATTAGTATGCCAATACCCATGGGAAATCCGATGATCCCGAATATGAATATTCCCGGTATTGATTATTTTGACTAAATAAATTTATTGTGGAGGTTTCTCATCACATAACAAAAAAATTTAATTCTTCTTTTCTTCTTTTCAATGGGATATGTTAAGGTCCGATGATTGGGCCCAATATTCATGTTAATCCGAACTTTGCGAGGTTGAGGCCGCACGCATTACCATTTGCAAATCAGATGGGTCAATTTCCTCCGATGGGTTCCGGAGGACCTCCAATGAATATGATGCCTTTTCAAGGTCAAATGGATATTTCTCCGTTTCATCCATCAATGTCTCCCATGGGAGGACGCGGGAACAATAACTCTTTTGCTGCCAGGGGTGGTAATTCGGCCTTTAATCACCACAGTGCGTTGCCATCACGAAGGCCGGTAGGTCAACAACAAAATAACCAAAATCCAAGGATGACTTCAAGTTCTCTCCCAAAACGTAAAACGCCTGTTGATGGATTCGAGCAAAAGGAACCGGCGAACAAGAAGAATGCCGCAAATGGAAAATCAGTTGCTTCTGAAACCAAACCTGCTGCTTCAACGACCAACACGCAGAAAGTCGTCGACCGGACAAAACCTGTTCCCGTGAATACTGGAAAAGATTCTTCAAGCACTCATTCTGAAAGAAATTTCAAGTCGGGACTCCCGACACCTGCTAATACTAACGCTACTACCACCACAAAACCTAAACTGAATACAACCCCTGCTGCTCTTGCATCCACTTCGTCAACTTCGAGTTCTAAATCAACTAATAAGCCAATCTCCAGGCAAATTCAAAAAACAGCAAGCACCAAGGCTGTACCTAAACCTGTTGTAAAAACCTCTTCTGCTGTTAACTCTTCAACTCAAGCTACATCACAAACAAAATCTACGGTGAATGCCAACAATGGTAAAACGGCAGCTGGTTCAAACAGGTTGACAATTGCCAATGTTGATGAAAGTGTGACGAAACGTGATCTCCAGACCTTGGCTAACTCAATTCCTGGCGGGTTCTCGGTAAGCTCGCGACGTCCGAATGTTTCTTGTTCATCAATGTTTCTAGGTTGAATCTTGTTAAAAAAATTTATTTTTTTTTTAAAAAAACCAAATCTACAGTCGATTACTTTAGATCGCACAGGTCACTCTGCTGAAATTGCTTTCAAGACGGTTGAAGGTGCTAAGTTATTTAGGAGAATTCACAATAGGTTGGTTTTTTAAAGATTTATCTAATATAGGCGTATATTTGCGAATGTAAAACTTTGTCTAATACCAACATCTGCATCATTAGAAGCCAACTCGGTGGATCAAATATCGTAATCAACTTCTCTTAAATCCGACGATAAGTGGTTATTTAGTCCAATTTTTCTTTTTTAGGTGACCCACCCATCCAGACAAGAATGATCTTTCCGAGGAGGGTTTTTGTATATCAATTTTTCGTTTCCTATTCTCTTCGAAGTCGTCGTATCATTTTCTACTATCTTCTTTTTTTTTTATCAAAAAAAATTATGAATTCATTAAAGTTGGACTTTATATACTTGAAGCACCTCTGATCTACTTTCTCTGGTATTAGGATGAATTTCTTTCCTAGCTAGATTCTAGATGTGATGAAATTTGATCAGGTGAAGTCACCTAACAAATAATATCGACCGAGACTTGGTGGTTGGTCAGGATTCGAATTTTGTTGCGTAACAATTCGCAACACGCATATTTATTAAGTGCGCGAGCAATTGTACATAGAACAATAATTTGCATCTTTTCTTATATTTTATTACTTTTCCTCTAATATTTATTTAATAATGAAATCACAACAAAAGTATTAAAGATTATAATTTCTCTTAATAATTAATCAGAGCGTATTCCTTTTACTAGAATGTACACATAATGTATATATTGTATATAAAATCTCTTAATTAATGTGAAATCAAGGCCATTTCCATTTTATTTTATTTATTTTATTTTGTTTTTTTACATCTTCCAATGTATTTTCGCTATCACCATTGATGCCTTAACAAAGGACATCTTGGAGTGTGATGCGAAAAGAATTGGTCGGATGACGCGTCTCCAAGGAGAGTTTCACAATGCCAAAACGTAATCCGTGAGAAGAAGAAATAAATGTTTATTCTTTTCGCATATCATGTATTTGTCACTACACCATAAGGAATGAAACTTGTATACGGCAAACAAATTGTCCATTCAACTCCCTAATATTCCTTTCAAATGCTCCACGCTGGATGTTATATCCACTATCCACTTTCCCAACGGATTGTTGTCATTCACATCTGCTTTTTTAATATCTTCGTCAGGAAGATCAATTTTTATACTTGGAACCCTCTGTTCCTCTTGGGTTCCTTTTGGTATCCATCTAGCTCGAGATATTGCACAAAATCCAGCTTCCGTCCATGTGCTCTCCTTAGAACAGGCTTCTTGAATAACATTGAAACACCAACCGTGTGTCACTATTATTAGGACGATATCCTTTGAGCTGTCCTGTTGAAGGCTTTCAATGTATGGCGCGGCTATTCCTTGCAAAGCATCGGCGCAGCGCTTCGACACCTCATAAATTCCTTCGGGGTAATCTGGTAGTTGATCAAAAACAGGTTTGTATGTCCAATCGACTTCGAAGAATGGTTGTCCCGACGCGGTTAGACGATGCAACTCTTCAACGCGAGTAGTAATGATGCTATTTGGAACTGCCTGTGCGTAATATGCGGCCGTATGCCATTCGGCTAGTGCCGACTCGATTCGTAGCTTGATCGCACTAGCTGGAAGATTTGACTGAGAGGTGGATATTCCCTCGGCGATTCCAACTGCAGTTTCTACGGTCCTCAAGAAAGGGCTAACGTAGATCACGTACTCCGCGTTCCTCTGGTGATCTCTATCTTTGTCTATGGTCTCGAGCCGTATATCATAAATGTAAGCACCAGTTTTTTCCGCTTGCCGTTTGCCTCTGGGCGTCAACGGCGGATCATAGGGCGTCGGTGTGGTGTATAAAAAACTTGACTCTACGTGGTCCATGCGTTCGCCATGACGAACAAGGAAAAGCGTAAGGGGCATATTTTTGAGTTTCTTTCAAGGCATGCTGCAAACGACATTCGGTCTCCTCTTATAGTTTTTTCAGATTCGATTACTGTGACACGCATGTACATCTGACCGGGTGCTAGTTCTTTTTCAGAAGTGTGGATTCAATACACGGTTACACCAAATACGAATTTCTTTTTTTCGAATACAATTTATACAGTAAAACTATTGTACGGTCACGTCTATTTCATGTGATTCCAGTGCCAACAAAGCATAAAAGCTGTTGACCAAACTTCTTTGTATCTCAACCAAAGGGCAATGGAGTTTCCGAACGAAAAAATATGTTTACAAGTAGAGGCTGCATACTCAAAAGAACCTGGTCAACTAACAATAACAAACAAGAGAATTTGTTGGACGGCTGCCGGTAAAAAAACTCCTTCGGTCATAATACCACATTCACAGAATATTAGTAAGTAAAATTGGGGACGAAAGTAAATTGTTAAGGTGTTTGTTGAAGCGATGATTTTACGCCGATGGTCGATACATTTGACAGATCAAAGATCTTTCCTTTGAATGATAAAGTCGAGATCTCGCCTTAACAACCAATTAATATAACAAAATCATTTCTTTCTTCTTTTCCTCAAAGAATTGTATATGGGTAAAAACCAAAACGTAGAGCCCAAATTTAAACTGTCTACGACAACGACCCCAGCTCAGGATTATTTATTTGTGCTGGAAAATCCTAAAGGATGGACTATCCTCCCCAAAATCCAAGCTGCGATAGCATCATTTATCGCAGCCGAAAAATCATCATCTGCTTCTCCCTCAAATCAAAGGTCCGCTGCACCCTCCCCTTCTCATCAACGTTCTGCAGCACCTTCTCCTGCTTCTGGTTCTTCGTCGCCGTCCATAAGGAATGGTTCTATACCTCCAACTGGAAAGAACGCTCCCTTGAGGAAGGGTCCGACTCAAAAGGAACTCGAGACACGCAGGGAAATTCTTACTCGAGATAAATACTTGGCTGATCGCCACACAACGCTTGTGGTGCAAGAGAAGTGTATAACCGAAGAAGAATTCTGGGCGCTCAGAAAAGTATGGATTTCCATACATTATTCATTTTTGTTGTACTAGTCCTTGTGTGTTTTTGTGGTACCAAAAACTTTAATAATGCGATGAAACTAAAATGGAGAACGGATGATGGAATAGAACCTTTTAAGAGATCAATCTGTACAAATGGCACAACAAAAGGGCAGATCTTCTATAATACCTACCCTGCGTCCAGTAACCGAAGAAAGTGGAGACTCCAAGGTCAACATTCATAAATCGTTGATCGACGAGATATTTGATGAATATCCTCGTGTGAAGTTGGCATTCGATGAATACGTCAAAAAACAGAAAGTAAATGTCGTGACTATGTCTCAAGTCTTTTTCGATTTTCAAGCGATGAGTTCATGAATTGGATTATTTTATAAATTTTCAGATGTTATCTGAAGGAGAGTTTTGGAAACGTTATGTTCAATCAAAATTCAATGATCGAGCAAATGGTTCATTGGGGGTCAGCGACGAAATATTTGATAAGTGTTGGGAGGAGACGGAAAGGGGTTAGTGATCTCGTTGTTATTCAATATCGTACGTGATAAAAATTGTCAGTAACATGAACTTGTTCTGTCGTAGATTTGAATAATGAAGATGAACCGGGGCGCAAAAGGATAAAAGTTAGTATTATTCGGGATTTAAATACCACCAAGGAAGACCATCTAGAGGTAATCTTTGTTTCTTTCTTTCTTTCTTCTTTCTTTCTATCTTTCTATCGACGAGTGACAATGAAATTAACTGAACTTCTTCTCGTCATCAGGTCGACCTAGAACAAGATATCACAATGAAGCCTGGACGACAAGTTAAAATCATTTCGTTGATTAGGCGTAACAATCGACATGGTTCACGAATATTAGAAGCCTCTAGGTCAGTTTACATAGCTACCCTTGAGCATAATCGATTGGTTAATTCATTATCTCAAGATTTACACATCCTCAATGATTTTGCACATTAGAAGAAAGGAAGCTTCGGTATAGTAGCAAGACCAATAATAACTTCTTCTAAAAAAAAAATGTTGTTATCCTGATACGTGACTTAACATGCATTTTATAGAAGTCTGATGAATATATTAATGAAATCATGATCGAAGATCTAAATCCTGAACAACCTTCTGACAGACTTAAACTGGACATAAAAGATCAGCGGGAGTATTTTGCAGGTCAAAAAACTGGATATGATTTTGATTTTAACATGGAGGATATTGAGGTAATGCCGAATGAATGCAGACGTATTTCCAATGTTTAAAAAGGGATGCTCACTTTGGCACCGTGTTTGCAGAAAACGAATGAAATTCTTAATGATTTCAAGGCCTCGTTCGCCAATTGGAAATCTGATCTATCGGGGGTATGTTTCTGTACTTTTTTTTTTTATTCGAATCCTTTCCAAGCTTCTCATCGGTTTAACGTTCAATGTCTATTCAGATAATAAACCGTAACATGGCTTCTCTGGTCACCAAAAAATGTAACATTTTGATTCATGATAAACAATCGCGTACGCAAAGGTCTCTGCCTAAAATGGGTAAGAAGAACATGTCGATTATATATGTGTTATTATTATTTTGTGGTTAAATGACTAAACTTATTTTTCATTAGACAATCTTCCACCGCGGATCCAAAGGAAGCTAAAATCAATTCATCTATCTGGCAATGAATTTCTGAAACATTTTTATTCAACATCGAATTCAACTAGCAAAGAAAAGATTGAGAAAAATAAAAGAATGAAAGAAAAATTGAAGTTTACTTTGAAAAGAATAGATACTCTTCACAAATTTCGGCAGGACTCTGATGCTGATACACCTGCTTCCCCTCTGAACAATGGCAACGCGCCTCATCAGCCCGTCAGTGACGATGTATGGAAGGAAGCTCTTAAAATTGCTCGAGAGGTAAATTGCCTTTGATTGCTGTTATGAGTCCATCACATAATTTTCTTTTATTATTATATGAATATCGTTCCTTAGATGATAAATCCTTTGAGGATTTCGATTTGTAAGGCCTTAGGATTGCCTTTAGAACAAGATCAAAATGGTGCTAAAGCAATCACTCAAAAAACGAGCATTAACCGAGACATGAATCAACACACAAATGCTCATGAGGTTACCTCCCAAAAGGCCATTGTTCGCGATGTTAAAAACGATGCTAGTTTTCAAAAGACTACTGTACGAGATAAAAATTTCAGTGATCAAAAGGTTTCGCAAACGCGGGATCATAAAATAAATTCGAATTCTCAGAAGGCCGTTCGCGATGCCAAGAATGATTCTGGTTCTCGAAAACTTGTTACTCGTGATGCTAAGAATGATCCACAAGCGCCTAACATTCGTGACACAAGGAATGATGGTGTCCAAAGAACTAACGGTGAAATTAAACAAAAGCGGGTAGACGCTAGTCGTTCCGCACAAGTTTCTTCTGGCACTAGCCGTACTTCTCAGGGGCAACCAAATGGTCAGACATCTAAATCGTCGAGTTCTCGTCAACATGATGCAGTCACCAAGACCTCATCCTCTGCTAGTGAGATTCCTAAAGGATCCACTAGGCTCAGTCATACGTCGAATCAGGAAACTCCAAGACACACGAGCAGCACACGTGATGCATCCAAGAACTCAAGTTCTACTCGCGTCACCCTTAATGTAAATCGTGAAGAACCTCCACAAGCACAGAGACGAGAGCAATCACAGTCCTCCAATCGGATCGTTTTGAAAGGAGTTCCAACCACCAAGCCATCTAGCAGTTCGAGTTCAACCAAAATTTCTCAAAATACGAACAAGGCTGGAGGAGTGAAAAGAAAACGCTAAATGGGCTATGCGAATCGATGTAATGGTCTTGACATTATCTAACGTGCCTTCATTCCTTTCCATTGTATACATTAACAATGAACCCATTTGCCATTCATTTGAATGCAGCTAACCGGAAGAAGCATGTCGATATCAAGATAATACATATTTTATTCTCTTATCATTGAACGGCTATATATTTGGCACACTACGGACTATGAACAATTTTTTTAAAAAAAAAAATTCAGTACATCGTAATATTTTTTGCAAAGAAATTTAGAAATTCAAGGATTTTTATAAAATACCCTATATATATCTATACATATTTGACTGTTATCTGGTGACCGAAGAAAAAATCAGATCTTGTCACCGTGCATATTTCGAATGTGTTAATGCTATCAAAAATTCGATCAAATATTAACAAGGGGAATCAATTGCCAGAAATTTATTCGAATTAATATTAATAAAGCGCATTCCCATAAAAACTTTGTAAAAACCGATTTATCGATAAAAAAAATTTTTTTATCAATACAGTATATTAAAAAAATGATTTTTGTATACAGTAGTAGAAATTTAATCTAATTACGAGGGTGAACATATCTGGAGGTGTCGAGCATTACAAAGGATTTGGTGGGCGGTCTAGTGTTAGTAAATTTCGGATCTTATTGAATATTATATCGAAGATTGTCATCTTAGTATCCCACTTTAATTAATCCGTAGATCAACCGACAATCCGAATGATTCGGTGTAATTCAACCTTCCACGAAGACAGCGTTACGCGATCCCTCTTCGCGTTGCATGATAGACTCTTCGAAATCACTATTTTGTTATCAATGTACAGACCATTTTATACAGTTCCTAATGATTTGAATATCTAATCAAATTAATTGTTATTAGATTATATCTAATGTGTAATGCATACATACTGTATACTTATCGATTCTTCGAAAGTCGTAAAACATGTCCTTTTCGACAGAACGCATAGGATCAAGACTCCGTTCAGTAAAATAAAGTGGCGAGATTATTCATGAATTCATCCGTTGAATATATAGGAATGGTTTTTAGATATTCTTTCGCGTGGATGGTAGCAACAAACCTGGGATTTTCGTGTTTATCGCGCATTATTAGACAATCTAAAAATGTATGGAGAGTGGCGTGTGTTTATGATGACATAATTTATGTATGACTTATATTCAAAATAAAAAATCCTTGTCGCGTGAATTATAGGGACAATTTCGTATCTAAGAACATTTTTTACCTTTTAAACACGAATCTGTCTACACAAACAACATTCACTCTCAAGTCTTTTTTACGAGGATACCGCCGGACACGCGCAAATATTGTAGAATATTATCGTTCGAAAACGAAACAAAAGGATCGGAAAAAAGTTTTCGACAACGTAAAGAAAGTTTTTCAGAAAGTGGAAGAATATAATTCATTTGATACAATGAAAAGTAAAAAAGTTCGAGAAATCCTCGACGACTAGGTCTGTGTGTGTTAAATATGTTAATAAGATAGGTATTAAGAGGTTAATCTGAACAGTTATGAACTCCTCGTTCGACAAACTAGCAAAAAATTAGGATTCTGAAATATTGATATTGTAGTTATTGTATAATGTTTGTTGCTAATGCTATATTATTGCTTACATTAATAAAGCAACAAATAAAGATTGATCATATTGAGGTAAATCAACTTGCAACTTGAAGTGACACAGTATAATGACAACCGTTGCATGAAACTTCATCACAATGCGAATGACAGGAGTGACAAAAAGGTGGGAGTTTCACATGGTACTTAAGTAATGGTGTTTAATGGTTATAATTATCTTGTTTTTAGGCTTGTCCATCTCAAGATCAACCACGATTCTATGTCTCCTTTGAACCAAGAGGTAATTACGTTCTAATTGCAACGATGTCTTTGACAATTTTTTTGATATGCGCAATAACTACATGCCTATTTAGCAAACGGTCAATAAGAGCCTCATCTTCCTAGCAAGCACACCGTATTCAATGGTTCATGATCAAACTCAAAAACATGGATAATAACTACAATAATGGGGATCATTTCTCTACCTTGGATCCATAGGGTCATAAAGATGACATTCCCCAATAAGAGTCGGAAGATGATCTTACAGGAAAACACTGGTACTATTGCTGATTTTTAATTGATTATTAATTATACTGTATATGCATCCAGTTAGCAGTGGAGAAATGGCGTGGATCGTCAAATACATTGAAGAAATACACAAGCAAGAGTGTTTTTTGTTTTTTTCATCTATTTTATGTGATTACACACCTTGGTTACTATTGTTTAATGAAAACATTGTTTCAGTTTAATGCGTCACGATAGTATTGACACAACTGCTTCATCTGCACAGAAGCACAAAGGCTTTCAAGGAGCATTGAAAAGATATTATCATTACTATAGAAAGACTTTTAACATTAAGTCCTAGTGCAGCACAATTAACAAAATTTTTATATTTTAATTTATAATTTATATACGAGATAGATAGCAAAAAACTTTAACCCACTTACTCTAATTGTTTGAAAATCTTCTTTTATAGTAATTTTATCAAGAAGTTATTTTTTTTCTTTTTTGTTGCTTTATATGCTTTAGATTCGATCAAATAATAAGCAAGTTTTAAAAATCACTTTTATTATTTGATTATAGAAAAAGATTTATAATCATTTCTTTTTTTTTTTTTTTTTATCATCCAAATTATTTCTATTTTTATTATACCTTTTGCCAATACCTAACTCAGATTTTATACAAGTGTATTAAATCATTTATATGATATATTTTGTTTTTAAAATAATGTTTTTTACTTTATCATATCTTTCAAATTATTTGAAATATTTTATAACAAAAAATAAAATACTTTATTATACTAGAATCAAAAAAACCTTAAATAACCTTTCAATTCAATTAACAACTCTGAAACAAAGTTTGTTTCTAATTTTTTTATAGAACAAAAGTAATAATACTTTTTATATAATCAACTGATTAGTAAATTTAAAGTTAATTTGCTTACAGAAAACTATTTAAGTAATAATATCTTTTATATAATCAACTGATTAGTAAGTTTAAAATTAATTTGCTTACAGGAAACTATTTAAGTAATAATGAAAAATAAATATTAAAACTAAAACCTGTAGATTTATAGCACAGTGGTTAATGCTTCACAGGTCAAATCACAAGATATTAATTTAACTTCATATGAAGGCAGTTGAATAGTACCTATATGGTATCTGATACTATAATCCATTAAGTGATATTTTTTATGTAAAGCCATTTCATATACTGATTCAATAGATATTGAGATTGTGATTTCTAATTAAGGTATTATAATACACTGATTATCCAGTTGGTGTTATAATTATTAACACTATACATGTGTTTGTATTTAATTCAGACATTTTTCAAAAACTGTATTATGTTTGTATTACTAAGTAACAATTAATAAATAATTGGAAATCATATTTAATTTAGAATCCTATTGTCAATCAAATTTTTTTTATAGTAATAAGAAAACATGTATAATTAATATTGTATTTAGTACATTCCCAGTTTCTGTAATAGCCATTTTCCTCTATAATTAATATAACTATAAAAAAAAACTTGATAATTTGATTAGACAACTTTGAAGAAAATTATTCAGTACAGAAATTTGAAATAGTGTAAGATATTTGGGATCACTTTATAGGAGTTGTGCCCTGCTTAATATTTGTACCCCTAGATTTGGCAGCTTAAGCTAACTAAAAGCTTATAAAGTATCTGCTAGAAAATTTAAAAGTTATATTCTACTTAATCTATAGATTTCCAGATTTGATAGTATGTGCCAACTATAGGAACAACTCTTGAAGAATTTATTAGGAAATGTAAAAAAGTAAGATCATGAATGCTATAAAAAATCAGAGTCAGTAATAGAAAGTAATAAGGATTCTAGTGATAGTTAATAGATAAAAATGTTCTTTAAATAAACTATGCCTAGTATACAAACATATTTTTGTGATATAAGTTGGTACATATATTAAAAAAAAGAGGCAGTACTAAGGTTAAGGTAGCTAAAACTAGTTAGTTAGTTAGATGACTATAATTAGTTAATTAGATCTTTCATGAATAATTATAACTTCAATACTAAGTTAATAAAAAGTTCACATGTAATCTTTAAAAAAAAAATATTAAATATTAAAACCAATATATGTTAAAAATAATGTCAAGCAATTATAAATATCTACTTAAAATTATATATAGCAAGATTTAAAAAAATAAAAACAAAAAAAATATTTAAAAAAAAATAAAAAAAATTAATCATAGTATAAATAATATCTAATATATATTGTTGACGTCTCTATTAGTGAGCCTGTTACTTCTTTGGAGCACTTCTCGCATAACATCGGTAAGTATTTGGCTTTTCTACTTGAGGCATGTAGATTGTTTAGCCAAGTTCTACTAACTCTTTTCCTTCTCTTTCCATTGTTGCTTCTCTCGACAGATATTTACTACTTTTTTCTTCGTGATCCCAAGCATTCTATTTGCGACAAGTATTATATTAGGTAAGTTAATTAGTTTTACTCCTTTTGGCAACAACAATCACATGTCCTAATTAAGAAGGTTTTAATTTAAGGAATGGTTTTTCTTATTTGTATAGCCTTTCTCTATTTATATCGTTGTTACTACTAGAAAAACAATTAAGGAAAAATAGACTATCGATAGACTATCCTTACAAGAGAAGTTATGGAAAGTCTATTCTAAACTCTAATTATTGCATTATTGCTTATGCAACTCCATTAATTATTTCCAATTTTCAGGGTATGCAATGCACCAGATTACCCATGCCCTATGCAAATTCCCTGCTAACAATATATTACTCTAATAATTTTGCTTTTCTGAAATATAATAGCATTTTTTAAAATAGTTAGGATATAATTCAAAATATATAAAAATATTAGTAATATATCTTTTTAATAAATAATTGGATATAATAATTAATAGTTAATGACTTGTAAGTTTATAATGTA